AAGGATAGTATGGACATAAGCGGTCAAAGTTGACAAAGATGTATTGGGATATTATCTAATTCAATGTGACTTATTTTAGCAAAATTCCCAAAAAAAAAATTCTTCAAATTTGGTTGTAAGGAGCATGTTTTCTACAGCTCACAGTATTTAGCTTTGAAAACTTATCTACACATTTTTCACTTCCCACGTCTAATATTCTCAAAATTAGTACTTTTAAAAAACATTTATTATTATTTTTAAAGTGGAAAATTGTGCTAAAAATTTTTTGCCATGTACTAACTTGTTTTGCTTTATGAACCCAAAAAAAGGTTCTTTACTTCTAGAGATACTTTATCAGAAACTTATTACACTAAAGACACTTATTATGCAAGGTATACTTTTTCAATGGGTAAAGTGTATTATAACCCCTAAGCAACTTCTCTTTAGATTTATCCGATTACTCTCAACCTCAATTGAATCTATTTCCTTTAAAAAAATTTCTCTTCTTCTCTTTATTTTCCAAATCTGACGAAAACCCAGAAAACCAAGTCGATGAAGGCAAAACCCAATTTCAAATTTGTAATCTTCACTTGTCTCTTGCTCCTCAATTCCGTAATCCCGCCCCCCCCGTTCCATTCTAGGCGACAAAGCTAGATCTGATGATGAATAGACGATGGCAAAGGCATCCTGGGATGCGATTCCCTCTCTTCCTTGTTCATACTTTCCGTATCTCTCAACTACCTCCACTTTGCCGTTAAGAATCGCACATGATCCGGGATTTTCATAAGAGTTCGCTAGATCTCAAGCTATACGATACACGACTCTTTTGTTTTCCGACCAGTTACAATGTATCTCCTCTTTCCAATTTTGATTTTCGATAATTTGAATTATGGATTGACTGAGGTACTTTAACTGTAATATTGCAAAAATTTCTAGGTTTTGTGTTTATTTTTTACTTTTTTGAGAACTTGTACATGGTGTTGTGTCTGATGTTTGTTATTAATTATGATATAGAGTTTCAATTTTTTGTCGTGAAGATGGACAACTCTATATGGATTTGTTATCGTGGACACCAATAACTCTATTAGCCAGTTGTTCAGTCTAAAAGAAACTAATGAAAGAGAATCAAACGTGTTCTTCTTACGATGCAATTACAGTTCTACATCTTCTCATGGAAGAGAATTAAACTCACGAAGACTTCCTTTCTCAAATTTGATCAATTGTACAAACTACTTTCAATGTATTTTATAACTAATTGTGTCATATTATAAAATCTACGTCCATAATTCATTAAAGCTAGAGACTTAAAATGGCAGGTTTTTGGTTGTGGCCACACAAAATTCTTACCAAGTTGATCATTTTTGTGGATCTCTATAGGAACTGATCTATATAGAGATTTTTCTATGTATATTGTCTCATAGACAAATTATTCTGGATATATTATGATCTATAGAAGTTGTCAGTGAATACCTATCAAATCAAAATTATCATGTTTTGATTAATTTTGTTTGTTCAAGAACGTTAATCACTCGCTCTAAGAACATTTGTTCAACTCTAAATGTACACATCATTAATTCCATGTTAACCATTCATTTAATTTATCAATTACATCACACAAGCACCATCCACACAACTTCATCCATTAATTTTTATCCATAATGTGTAATCCATCGCACAAATAACCATCCAGAATACACAATATCATCAAGATATGACCATATTAGAAGACAATCCAGAGATTTTTAAAAACATTAGAATCTTATCAGACCATGTGTGGAACAGACCAACAACGCTTAAGAGTTTTATCAGACTCGTGTGATGTGGAGCTGCTGGCGGCGGCAGCATTGGAGCCGCATGCCTTACGGTTTTAGGGTATGTTGATGAAGGTCACACTGGAAAAATAGAGAAAGAGGAAGAAATGGAAAAAGTATTCTCACGTGAATAGATTTTTCAAACCGTCAATCAGAAAAATCAGACATAACCGTGGTGAGACATATCGAAGGATTTGATTTCTTCATCTCTGTTAAAGAAAAGGCCATGTCGTCCATCTTTGCATATGCATATGCATACTACTGTCCATCCGTAGAGCTTCGACCTGCATACTCAAAATCTGTCTTTACCCCAACCATCATAGCTTTTCCTCTTTCATCTCTAGCACATCTAGGAGAAGATAAGATACTAGTGATCAAAAGTTTTTGATAAATCCAACAGTCATAAAGCTTAAGAAATTGTTGTTGCTTCTCAATTCCTAGCTTAATCCAACTCTTCGTTTCTCCCTACAACACAAACACAATCATATATAAATAATATCTTATCTCCCAAAACTACCATACCACCATCCAAATCAATAAACAATCATATATAATTATCTTAGTGCTTCACCGGTTTCTCTCTCTCTGAACCTCAGTCCTAGATCAGAGGAACAAGGGCGATCGTCTTCCTCTTCCTCCAATAAACCTTCGACAGTCTCCACGGTGGCTATCAAGGCTGTCTTCAAGACATCTGGTATCAATGGAGGCGGTGGAAATACCAATGTTGAAAGGAAAGGAGAAAAGAAAGATTGATTCTCATTGACGAAACATAGATCGACGATGAGAAAAGGAAAAGAGAGAGGAGGGAAGCGGCCATGAAAGAAAATATGATCTAAAGATCTTACTTTAATTGATTTCTTCTACACCACAAGATCTTTACTTAGATGAACGGTCCAGATCAGCTTTCATCTCACTTCATCACTTTTTCTAACAATCTTTCGTAAGAGGGCAAAAGAGTATTGATAAAAATCAAACAGTGGAATAAGTATACATTGGGTAAAAAGTATCTATAATATAATATCTTTTTAAGAAAGTATGTTTGGGTGTAAATAACCCCAAAAAATTGCATTACAATATTTTTCCATCATATGTCTATATTTTTTGTTTTTTGTCAATATGAATTGTTTAATAAATATATCCTAAATACACATAAGAATTATTATATGTACATTTTATAATAAGATTTTAGTTCTTGATATGATCCTCGTGACGGATCTACGCCCACTGATCACTTCGAACGGCTTTGGACATGCGGAAATGGTAAACGATCGAATGATGGATGGATCTAAGGTGAAGATGAACCTATTCTAGCAAT